TAAGTCCAACAGTTATATTTTATTATAAACAGAGCCTTTACTTAAATATTTGTGTCTATATAAATAACGTAAAACAATAATATATATGTATATATATTTGTTATAAAATTTTTTTTATTTTTTTTTTTTTATTTATTTATTTATTTTTTTTTCAAAATAATAATTATATAAGTTATATAAGGGGGATGAAATCCTGAGAGCTCAATGTAAATCCAGAGCTAATAATTTAAAGAAAAACAAACCACTTTAAGGTTCCATTATAATAATTTATTTCACCAGAGCCCTTTTAAGGATGGATCATCAGATAACACTTCCAAAAATGAAATGAAAGATGAAATGAAAATTCATACTTTTGACAGGTAGTATCAAGTTTATTTAATTTACCAGAGAGGGTAGGGAGGAGTGGTGGAAGAGACATGGTTGAGTTTAGAGAGGGTTAATTTTTATATTTCTTTCAATTGAAAGAAATATTAAAATAAACCCTCTTTAAACTCAACCATGTCTCTCATTTTTTGAAGTGTTATCTGATGATCCAGCGTCCCTTAAAAAGGGCTCTGGTGAAATAAATTATTATTGAACCTTCAATGGTCTGTTTTCTTTATATATATATATATATATATATATATATATATATATATTAATAATTATGCATATTATCCTTCACCGATAGCACAACTCGGTTTCATGTGAAATGCAATCTTCAGGTGCTGAGTACAGACTGATTGTTTCATAATTTATACATATGTTATATACTTTAAAATACATTTATATGTATAAAATACAAATCTCCCATGATTTCTCTCGAATGCTCATATCTGCTCAAAGCATATTTTAACGTAAACAAATGACAGCATATATTATGAAATGGACTAAGTCCGACAATTATTTTAATATATTTTATTATAAACAGAGCTTTCACTTAAATATGTGTGTCTATATAAATAAGGTATAACAATAATATATATATATATATATATATATATATATATATATATATATATATAATTTGCAGACAGTACTGTTTAGCTGTATCACAGCTCTTCAGTGCGACTAGACATTCTAATGCCTCAAGCCAGGATTGAAAGCCTACCAATTTGGTGTCAGTCAGAGTTTCTACCACTGAGCTATCTTCATTCAATAGAATGAGGCAGCTAAATCTAGCATATTGTTTTTACAAATGTAACCAAATGTCAATCAGCTGGAGTGCTCCATTCATTTTTACTGAAGAGCTTCATATTAACTCAGGTGGCTGTTGTTTGTAGAATCAGCTTGTCATTCAACAGTGCTCAACTGAAATATATTTTCAAGAGCTAAATTAAATAAATATCATTTGCATACAGTACTGTTTTGTTGTATCACAGCTCCTTAGTACTACTAGACCTCTGAATGCTTCAAGCCAGGACCGAAACCTAACTGATTTGGTGTCAGTCAGACTTTCTACCACTAAGCTATCATCACTTGGCAGAGAGAAACAGCTAATTCTAACGTATTGTTTTTACGAATGTAAACAAAAATAAATAAAATACTTAATTTTTCTTGTGTGCATATAAGTGTTTTCGTTTCTGAACATAGTGTGTAAGAATTGTTCAAATGTTCTGTATCCTTACATTAAGGTTCAGTTCAGGTGGTTTTTAGATTCTCATTATGTTTTGGGATTTCATTATTTAAATGTTGGATGTCATTTTTAACTGTTTTTATTTGCTGTTAAACAAGGTTTTTTTTCTGAATGTTGTAGTATTACATTCCTTGCTGGATGCAGGGTCATGTAATTTAATAATTGTGTATTTGGGTAGTTGTACCTCTTTTATACATGTTTCATTAAAGATGCATATAAAGACACAGAAGACATGGACAATTTTTACACACTTTATATCCAGAAAAGAAAACACAATACGAACACAAGAAATTGCAGTACCTTGTCAATCCTCTTTAATGAAACTTGTATAAAAGAAGGATTGCTACCCAAATACACCATTTTATATATAGGCTTATGGCTTACTTATTCTCATATGATCACTGAAGTTGAGCAACATTGAGTCTGGTCCATAGATAGGTGACTACTTCGGAATACCAGGTGTTGTAAGCTTGAATATGCAGGTTGTGTAATGGATAATGGTTCAAAATGGGAAATCAGACGGCTGAGCTCCAATCACCAGTCGGGTTTGTTATATTCACTTACACATAAATACTCTTGGGAAGGGTATTAATCCACCTCTCCTCTTCTCATTTATGGGTTAATTTGTAGGACTTGTATTCTCAGCATCCTTCTGTAGAACCACATTTCTGTTGCTTCAAGTCTCTTCTTCATCTGGAAGGAGATTGTCCAGCATTCACTGCCATACAGGAGGACTGATATTACATAACAGTTCAATACTTATAATTTCCTTCCTCTGTCTGCTATCAACACTGTGTCATCTGCATATCTTATGTTATTAAGTTAGTGGCCAACAGTAATAGATAGGACTTTTAATTCTTTCAGAATTGCCTCACTGTATAGGTTTAATAAGTCCAGTGAGAAAACACATCCTTGTCGTAAACTCTTTCTATTTTTGTATATTTACTGAGCTTATTTTCTATCTGTATGCAGATAGTTTGCTGCCAGTATAGGCTCTGGATTATTCTAATATCCTTCCCTAATTATTCTAATATCCTTCCTGTCATAATTACCTAGTAGTCCAACAGTTCTTTGAATGTAAAAATTATTTGAATGTTTTTCTGTTTCAAGAGCTTTTAGCTAAACAGTAAACTGTTTCAAGGATTGTTTTTCATTATATTTACTATAATAAATGATGTGTATGTGCTGTTATAAAAGTTGCTGAAAGTAGATATATTCTGTTATATTCCATGCTTAGGGAATAAACACATAACACCAGTTGGATATTAGAAGAAAGGTTTATTGTACACAACAAGTACAATATGAAATACGGTACAGTTATACACACAGCTCAATCTAGTAGTGAGTGCCACTAATTGGAAGGTCGGATGTGCTTCCGTTCTTTTGCTCTCTCATCCCCGTCCTGTCCTCTCATAAACGGTTGACTTTTTAGGCACTTACTACTTATAGTGTAATCATTCATAGGGGTGAGTGGTTATTCCATTACATCATATTCTTAATTTATAAATACGGCCAGTACATTCTGAACATGTTCATAATTAATGTTATTATGGTTTAGTTTCTATCAATTTTAGACCTTTTTACAATTGGCGATACATAACAAATTCTCAGTCTCAATAATTATGTTGCCCATTGATTTTGGCACAATTTGTTAGTATTGAGATCTTCTCAGAGAGCTGTATCATCAGTCATTTTGACTGGTAAGTGGAGACATGTTCAACATAAATTTTTTTTCATTGCCAACACAATTTTTATAGCGTCTCCAACAGCACTTATGTACTATTTATTTATATTTACTATTTATTATAGTATAACAAAAACAACCCTTGAAAATGGCTCAGGTACTCAGAACAAGCAAATATTTGGTCACTTTTTACATTCATTAAGTCCAGAAGTGAAAACACTTGTATGTACAGATGAAAAACACAATAAAAACTATGCAAACAGTAGATTAATGGATTGTGGCTAGGATAGCAGAGTTTAAATTCTAGTTAAGTTCATTGTATTCACTTTCATACCAATACCCTTGGAATCCCTCTCTTTTGCCCCCAGCTATGGGTAAATAGCATAATGGACTGGGTAAGCTACCAGTGGCCTAAAACTTAGGCCTACCAAGTAAATGAAGTTAGGCTACAGTATACCTTTACCAAAACTATATATGGACACACCACTTACCTGTAAAACCATAATATCTTTCTATATGCATTGAATAGTAAACAACCTGCAACACATACCGGTGGGTATCATATATTATATAAACATAATTTAGTGAAAATTTATACTGATTTGTGTTACTATTTTATTTTAATTTCTGTGTTAATAGGCCAAATATATCCAGCAAATACAAGTTTTAGTGGCATATATTTGCAGAAGCCTGCTGGAGCTATGGTAGGTGGAGTACAGTAATTGTTAGGAGTGATGTCCCACTTGTTTACAAATGGGTGCTAAAGGTTAACATTTTATACCTGACATATCTAGTTGAGCCCAAGTTTTGGAAATCTTTTTTAAGCTTGAAATCTAACTTGTAGGCTGCAATTTATGGTTATGTGTTTAATAAACAATAAAATCCAAAATCACCTCATCTGGGGAATAGCCTATATCATTGGACAAAGATATCGGTCGTCTGTCCACACCAGGTTTGATAAGACAAATGACTGATATCTTCATCTGCCGAAATAGGCTATTCCCCATATGAGGTGATTCTGGATTTTATTGTTTATTAATTATTTGCTCTGTAATAATAAATACATTGAACTCTTTCTGTGGATGAGTTTTAATATTTTATATTACTAGGATCCACTTGTATTATATACCAGCAGATTTGTTACCTTTACTGAGATATATATATATATATATATATAAGTGGACACTGAGGTCAACACCAAGTGATGACAATTTGTTTCATGGTTAAGCACAATCTTCAGACCATAAAACAGACTGTTGTCAATTGGTGTTGACCTCAGTGCCCACTTTTATATTTACAAATGCTCTATCTCTGAATTTAGAACTTTTACCCTAAATATATATATATATATATATATATATATATATATATATATATATATATGATAAAAATATATTTTTAGAATATGCTATATTTATGGGTAAAAGTGAGCAATATCAGAGTGTGTTTAGATTTGTTTATTATGGCTTATCAACCTCTTACAGGTTATTTGAAGACAAAGAATATTTTTAAGTTGTAAGAATGTTTTTTGCGATAACAATGATTTATTAGTACATGTCCCACTAATTAACCCATAGTTGGAGGGAAAAGAGGTGGATTCATACCTTTCCCAAAGTTATTTGCGTGTAAGTGAATATAATGAACACAAATGGAATTTGTAATTACAAGACATTATCCATTACATCACCTGCACAGCCAAACTTACAGCACCTGGTATTCCCAATTGGTTGCAAATCTAGATACTGATCAGGTTCAACATTGCTTAACTTCAGTGATTGTACGAGAACTGGTGTTCAATTGTGATATGGCCATTAGCTATGTAAATATAAGAGTGAACATCGAGTGGCATTAATCTGTTTCATGTTTGCATGCCATCTTCAGGTGACATTCACACATAAAATAGACTCGTATTAAGACCTAACAGCCATTCCTTCTCTTTATAAAGAGCAGTATGTAACATTTTAATGAATATGATTTCTAAAGTCTTTCTGTCAATGTACACATTTGTTTTATTTGCTCAATCTGCAAAGTTTTGAAGAGAGATTAACAAAAACCTGGCTAGCTGGTTTTTTTCTTCTTTCTTTTTCAAATTATCATTTATAGTAATTATACTTTTCCATATATTTTTTTCATTTTTCTCTTACGTATTTTGACCATTTTAATAGCAATAAAAAAATAAAGGAAATTTTTCCTATATACATCATCCTTTTAATTTTCCAATGTCTTTTTCTTTCTTGTCTTGTGTTTACTTATGTAAGCAGGAAGTGGGGTGAAGAGACAAAAATAACCTGACAATATTGAACCCAATGTGTGAATATTCCCAGATAATTGCTTCAGCTCTGCTCTTGACCAATTCTAAGCTGGTTTTTGGACTCAGAGGTTGGGCAGGAAATCCAGTTGATGAAACAGGTTCAATCTTTATTTAAATTTTAAATAGTCTGTTCATTTCTTTCATAAAGGTTCCAGTTTGTACAATAATTAAAGATCACTTTCAAAGAAAACCTGAACAGGTGTTTAAAACTGGAAACCCGATTTGCATTGATTCTATAAATGAAATTCATCCTGCAACTCGTGAATCTATTAGTGACTTTGTTGAAATACCAAAAAGTTTGAGGTGTGTGTGATCAAAAAAAATGCATACAAGAATTTCTTTCCATCCCAGCAAAAGATGTTTTCTCACATAAATCTACTTTGATGGGAGTCTAAATTTATCATGTAAAATTATGTTTTGTTTCAATTTAATAACATTGATTTCTTTAGCTTTGTGTATATGAAATAACTAGAAAACAGAGAATGACAGAGAAAAAAGCAAATATATGTATATGCTGGAAATACTGTAATATACTGGACTCCTCCATAGTTTGTGGTATATAAAGTACAGCAAATCAGTTCTTAAAACTGAACAGCCAGATTAGCCACATATATATTTTTTATTAATCAATTCACCCCAAGCAGTGTGATAATGCCACTGGGTGTGAAAGAGAAGAAAAAGACTAGTAGGAACCAAAAACCCAATCCTAAACATGGAACAAGGGACACAACTCTTGTTCTTATTTAATACTGCTCAGTCATTTCTCACACAATTTCCAATGAGTCTTAGTCTTTCTGGGATGATAGACTAGTAGATTAAAGTGTTGGATTGTTCTCATTCCACTGTCCATATTTAGGGATATCTCTTCTTGTTCTTATTTAATACTGCTCAATTATTTCCACCCAGATCTGCTCAATTTTAGTCTGGTCAGTACAATAGACTAGTAGATTAAAAAGTCTAGGGATATCACATCTTATTTAGTACTGCTCGTTGCCGCTGTTTCCACTGGTTCTAAGTCTGTACCACCCAACCTAGAGATTGAACTCCAACTAATATACTAATCTTATAGTTTCAACCCACCAATAAATAATTTTAGAAGTTTTTTCTGTATTTCTTTTTTAATATTGGGCACAAAATAAATGATAGGTTATTTGCTTTCTTTTTTGACTAATTATTATTTGTTTTAGTGCCATGAAATATGGATACATTCAGTTGGCAAAGAAGAAACCAAGTCTTTCTTAATTTGGCTTTCCTTTGATTTGCAATTTTAATTTCTCAAACAGATTTCCTCTTGACAGGCAAATTAACTTTAATTAAGCCTTCACCCCACTACCACCTTTGACAATTTGTTCACCCTTCAAAGATTCTAATGAACAGAACAATTATATTTTATCCAGACTGTAATCAAAAATAGTTCAGTTTCTGACATTAGATAAATCTCTATGCATACATCAATATGCCTGCAGCCTCCATATGAAAAAGAAATTTATCTAATACAAGAAATATTTTTCAACATAATCTCCTTTTTTGTCAATGCTCTTATTTCAGTAGTGAATATACCATATACACAAAATTGTATACAGTAAAAGTTTCTGATCAAAATACAGCTGATAATTATGTATTTTCTACAGACTTACTGATCCACCTTTAATTGGTACATTACCAAAAATAGAAAAGATTTCTTAAGTGTTGATTAATTCTTCTTTCATTAATTTCTTTGATATCGAGAAAACACTGTATTTTTATTTGTCTATATTATAATACTGATAAAACTAATAAATTTCAAGTGTTATACAACAGAAGGTGGCGTAGGTTCATATCTTTTTCACTGACAGTAATTCTTTGTAGATACAAGCCACCTCATACAAAATTTAAACTTCGTTTTAAGTTTCTTAAGATGGATTCTGTGATTTCTTGACTTTGCAATCTAATTTAAAATATGGAAACATAGATGGCAGGGTTAGAAGGGTTTATTCCTTCTCATTTGAAAACAAGCATCTGCAGCTAAAATTTAACCTCACTTGGTTGATTCAGTGTTCCCTGATTTTTGCTCTTTCATTTAGAATGTAGAATGTGTAGATGGCAGGGGCAGATGGGTTCGTGCCTTCTCAATTGAAGACAAGCAACTGCAGCTAATATTTAGGCCCACTTTGTTGATTCTCTGTTCCGTGATTTTTGCATTTTCATTTAGAATATGAAATATACAGAAGGCAGGATTAGATGGATTCATGCCTTTGGAAATTGAATACAGGCCAAACTTTAAACTCACTATGTTGATTCTGTTTTCCCTGCTCATCATGAATACATTGCCACAAACATCTAACCAAATGAATTCAAATTTATTGTTATTATAAACTGGTTTATTCAAACTGGTGTCCTCTTTGATATGTTGACAAAATGTTTGCCAATTTTCCAAAATGGCTTCATTTTCTTCTTAGATTTGGAACCACTCTCAGAACAAATATAGATAAACCAACCAACAGAATAATATATATTGTATTTGGTGAAGACACAGTTGGTGATGCTATTGCACAAAAGTTTTTCAGGAACTCACTTGAGGAAGCACTTTGTAAAGATTGGTCAATAAGTGTTGTTGATGTCAAACCGGAGATCTTGCATTGACAATTATCTTTTAGCTATTAAGGTTCAACACAAAGAATGAATCTATGTGTTTGCATATACAATGCATTGGAAATAGATGTAAAATAAGGAAATAGAAGTCATCTAATGAAAGCATTGAATAAAAGAAATAGAAAAAAAAACTGCAGAGAAATCTTTATGGTTGTGACATATTAAATCAGTTTTCTCATGTTATGGAAACCAGAGTTTTTTGCATTATATAAAAAGTACCTGTCATAATACTTGTTAGGAATTTAATAATTGTCAGATATTTTTCTATAGAGGATAGAGAATCAATCAAATTGTGGATCAAATGAAAGATTCTGGTCAACATGCCAAATATGAAAAAAACAGGTAAACTGATCCCAAAGGATGCCTAAGTGTCAGTGTAAAATATCTTCCTGAAAATGATGCCAAATAATCAGTTTACAAGGTCTGTCTGAAAATGGTACCAAAGAATCAGATTACAAGGTCTGTCTGAAAATGGTACCAAAGAATCAGATTACAAGGTCTGTCTGAAAATGGTACCAAAGAATCAGATTACAAGGTCTATCTGAAAATGGTACCAAAGAATCAGATTACAAGGTCTGTCTGAAAATGGTACTAAAGAATCAGATTACAAGGTCTGTCTGAAAATGGTACCAAAGAATCAGATTACAAGGTCTGTCTGAAAACGGTACCAAAAAATCAGATTACAAGGTCTGTCTGAAAACGGTACCAAAAAATCAGATTACAAGGTCTGTCTGAAAACGGCGGTAAAAAAAATCAGATTACAAGGTCTGTCTGAAAATGGTACCAAAAAAAATCAGATTAAAAGGTCTGTCTGAAAACGGTACCAAAAAATCAGATTACAAGGTCTGTCTGAAAACGGTACCAAAAAATCAGAAAGGTCTGGTACCAAAAAATCAGATTACAAGGTCTGTCTGAAAACGGTACCAAAAATCAGATTACAAGGTCTGTCTGAAAACGGTACCAAAAAAATCAGATTACAAGGTCTGTCTGAAAACGGTACAAAAAATCAGATTAAAGGTCTGTCTGAAAGTACCAAAAAATCAGATTACAAGGTCTGTCTGAAAACGGTACCAAAAATCAGATTACAAGGTCTGTCTGAAAACGGTACCAAAAAATCAGATTACAAGGTCTGTCTGAAAACGGTACAAAAAATCAGATTACAAGGTCTGTCTGAAAACGGTACAAAAAATCAGATTACAAAGGTCTGTCTGAAAGGTAAAAAAAAAAATCAGATTACAAGGTCTGTCTGAAAACGGTACCAAAAAATCAGATTACAAGGTCTGTCTGAAAACGGTACAAAAATCAGATTACAAGGTCTGTCTGAAAACGGTACCAAAAAATCAGATTACAAGGTCTGTCTGAAAACGGTACCAAAAATCAGATTAACAGTACCAAAAATCAATTACAAGGTCTGCGGTAAAAAAATCAGATTACAAGGTCTGTCTGAAAACGGTACAAAAAAATCAGATTACAAGGTCTGTCTGAAAACGGTAAAAAATCAGATTACAAGGTCTGTCTGAAAACGGTACCAAAAATCAGATTACAAGGTACCAAAAATCAGATTGTCTGAAAACGGTACCAAAAATCAGATTACAAGGTCTGTCTGAAAAGCGGTACCAAAAATCAGATTACAAGGTCTGTCTGAAAACGGTACCAAAAAATCAGATTACAAGGTCTGTCTGAAAACGGTACCAAAAAATCAGATTACAAGGTCTGTCTGAAAACGGTACCAAAAAATCAGATTACAAGGTCTGTCTGAAAACGGTACCAAAAAATCAGATTACAAGGTCTGTCTGAAAACGGTACCAAAAAATCAGATTACAAGGTCTGTCTGAAAACGGTACCAAAAAATCAGATTACAAGGTCTGTC